TAAAAGAAACACCAAAGTTCAATAAAAGAGACACTTGACCGGCAACCGTCTGCTTGTGTCCTTTCTCTCTCTCCCCCATCTTTTTCAGGATTGACCCCCTTCACCCCCACGAATAACTAAGTCCCGCGGGACGGGACAATCAACACTTCTGGACCATTCTATCTGTATTTAAGTACAGGAGGGGACTTGGGAGGTCCTGTGGCTATGACTAGGGTCTTCACCTAGAAACTGGAGTGAAAGACAATTAAGTGAGCAGGAAAAAAGTAAAGAAAAAGCTAAGGTTTGTGAACAATTTTGAGATTCTTACAAATAATTTAAATGCGATAATAATAATTAGAAAAAAGAAAGTGCTATTTTTCCTTTCCTTTCTTTTTCTTTTTATAAAAATAGCCCTAACTCGGGTTAGATTCCAGAGAGAGGCTTGCCTTTCAGCAGTGCATGGAGGTTGAGTGGGCTCCCATGGGGAGCTCGAGATGGGGCCATTACAGTCACCACAGCACTTCCAAGCTCCTCATGAAGCCCTTTGCTCTCATCTGACAAACGCAGCTAATTGAATGAACGCAGGCCTGCTGTAAGGCTAAATGGACTGCTGATTCCATTATCTCAGAATAATCATTCCGGGTAGACAAGAGAATTCCTTGCCTGGACATTGGGGCAGAATGAGAAATAAGAGTAAAAGGCAGTAAATGAAGAAGATTCTGTGCAAGAGACGGCCCTCTCTCTCCAGGTTCCTTGTCACTCGACGGAGCACCCGGCTCCCCTAGTGTACTCACACTCTACTGGTTCGCTTCCCTCCACACCCACATTCACTGGAGGGCGGGAAAGGTGTCGGTAAGGCAGAAGCAGATGGCGTGTGCCTGGAATCTGGGAAGGTCTGGTTAGCACAAGGATGAAGCGTTCTGGAGATGGGCGGAGCAGCGGGCTACACTCTCCTGCCGTGCGGCCAGGAGGGCAGCCTCTCCTCAGAGGGTCTCAGCCTCCCTGACACTGCGGCCCTGCAATGCAGTTCCTTGTGCTGTGCTGACCCCCAACCATAACGTTATTTCGTTGCTACTTCATGACTGCACTTTTGCTACTGTTATCACTTGTAATGTAAATATCTGATATTTGACCCCCAAAGGGGTCCCCACCCACAGACCAATAACTGCTGCTCTAAATGCTGTGTATTATACGACAATTAAAATGAAAATCATTTTAATTGTCGTATAATCAGCTCCAAAATAAACTCAATAAAAAAAAAAGACTTTAACCTCACCCCACTGGCCATGTGCAAATAATGGAGGAAGAGTCACGAGGACCCAGTAGCTGGTAGGCCAGAACTGACAGGCACAGTGTCGCATGCCCTGTTTTTAAACCCATCAGGGAACCCTCTCAGAAGCCGTCTTTGGCCTGGTGAGACGGCTGAGTGGACAGAGGTGCTGCCTGGGCCAGCAGGGTGACCTGAGTCTGAAACCCTAGGAGCCACGTTAAAGTGGAAAGAGAACCAGTCAATCCCACAGGCTTGTCCTTTGACCTCCACGTGTGCCAGGTTCGCCTCATCCTCCGCCATGAACTCCGCAGACCGGGAGTCTGAGGTACAGCGAGTTAGCATGACTTTAAGGGTGCTCTGACCGTCCCAGTGGGCTAGATGCCTACGGGGAAACTCTCCCCACAGACTGCAAGAGGGCAGAGGGGCAATCAGCAGCATGGTGGACCTCTGCACAGCTCCCCACAGTCTACACATCGATTTCTCCTTGGATATCATCGAATATCATAGTGAAGGGGTTCTGCTATTACCAAGGAGAAGTCTGAGCCTTAGGAAAGTCCTTGCTTCCCACTCTGAAGCGGCGGCTCCCACCCCACAGCTTCTGACCCTGGATCAGGAGCACCCCTCCACATCTGGTCCACCTTCACATTTTCGGAGGAGAAAGCCTTCAAGGAACACCCCCCAGAGTCTAACGCCTTGTCCAGGCCACAGGAGAGCTGGCGTGCTTTGCAGACCCCATCAGCATGTGCCTTTAAAGACAGTTGGTCATGATAATGCAGAGTCTGTAAATACCTGGTTGATAATTGAAGGCAGAGAGCTCTGTCAGCACAAGGCGTGGAGTTCGCCCTGGAAGCACTCTTATCTAGTCGATCCATTAGAAGCTTTTCACTTAAGTGCCTATCTACTCAGTATCTGCCTTCCCCAGCCTCCTCAGCCATTAGCTCACCTGCTGTGAGTCCTCAGCGAGCAAATCCACTGAGAGTGCCTAGCCACTCTTGCTGCGGATGTGGTGCCTGAGCAGCAAAGTACAGGATTGCCACATCCCACAGACCTTTGGAGGATGGAATTACATAAACCTGCATTTGATCCCAACTTGGCATAGACAGGGATTCTTAAATTGGTCTTGATAACCCAAATGAAACCTGCAATGTCAGAGCTTCAGGGTGTAGATCTAGGTTCTCCTACCCGGCACACTTTTTTCCGTGAGAACTCAAAAGGTGAGTTCTTTGATATAAAGTGAGTTCTGGATACCAGGCTGAGGGCAACTGTGAAGAACTGCTATACTTGATTAGGAGAATTTACATGATAATGGGAACTGCCTGCTGGCAAGGGAAACTCTGATAACAAAACCTTCCCAGGGTCAAATGAAGTGCTCTTCCACAATCCTTGTTTGTTTTGCTTCTTCGCAGCTTTACCATTGTGACCTAAGATTATGGCTAGTAACCACGGTTCAAACTCTACAGCAGGTGCCCACTCCTGACAGGACCAGACAGTAGGAATCTAACAAAGCAGATTGAGACTATTGGCTGGGAACTTCCCTGCTATCAGGTCACAAAAACACACCAGAATCCCTGGAAGAAAAAATTGACTTTAACGTGTTGGTACTATGATGACTCTCTCCCAGGCATTGTCTTTTCATCAATATTCTTTAATCACTAAAGTTTGAAGAAAACCGCTTACCTACAAAGCCTTCTTCGCCGACCAGTTTCAGCGCAATTTTATCAGCCAACACTGAAGAGTTGCCGTGAGCGATGTTGGCGAAGGGGCCGGCATGTACAAACACAGGTGTCCCCTACAGAAGAAGGAGAGGTTAAAACTCCAAGGAAACGAGATGATGGGGACCAAGGTGCCACAGAGGGCGGGCGTTTAAGTGAACCCCGTCATTCTGAGTCTACAATGCATAGATGCACATATCTCCTGAGAGATCTAAAAGTGCCGTGAGCCAGGGCGGGCGGAGCCTGTCTGTAATTCCAACACTTGGGGTGGAGGCACAAGGATCAGTAGTTCAATGTTATGTCCAGCTATAGGAAGGGTGAGAAACCAGTCTGGGTGACAGGAGCCCAACGTAAAAAAGCAGGATAGGGAGACGGCTAAGTCAGTGATTCCTGCCGTGAAAGCACAAGGGCCTGAGTTCACACCCTCAGACTCATGTAGAAACTGGGTATGGTGACACCAGCTTGTAACGTTAGCACACAAGAAGTGAGGGGGGTAGAAGAGGCCAAGACACATGGATCCAGGGAGGTTGCAGGCCAGACGGTCTAGCCAGTCGATGAGCTGTGGGTTCAGCAAGAGCCCCTGCCCAAAAATCAAAGTGGAGATGGATAGAGGAAAACACTCAAGGCCAACCTGAGCCTCCAAACATACACAGAGACAAACATGAATACACAGTTAATACAAATAAACAAAATAACAACAACAACAAATCCTTTAAAACAAAACTGAAACCAAAGACACCCTCATTGATTCAGACATCAAATATGTCTCAAGTTTCCTTGGACAGAATTAGCCTACAGTTGATGCCAAACAAGAGACAAAAATCTCTAAAACTGCGGTCACCTCTGGTTAGAATTTTGGTAAGTTATTGTTCATTGACTGTTGATCATAAAATATACTTTGTAGCAAATTTTTTATTGCCTGTATTATGTATTTTAAAAATAATTTAATCAAACTGTAATAGTTTAAGTAATATTTTCAATCCCCTTACCCCCCATGAGCGATTAGTCAAGTATTCAGGCAGCAGAGGCAGGCGTATCTCCTTGACTAGAAGGCCAGCCTGGTCACACAGTGAGTGCCAGGTTGGTCAGGGCTACACAGTGAGAGGAGGGAGGGGATGGTGGCACACACCTGGATTCCCAGCATCTGGGAAGTTAAAGCAGGAGGGAGGATCAGGAGTGAGATGCCAGTCTAGATTACATGAGATTTTGTGTCAAACGAAGAACTGAGCATAAGAATCAATATAACTCATGAAATACAGGAGCCAGGGCAGGCCAATTACAAGGTCAGGCTATTTTTGTTTTCATATTAAAGTTGATTTCTCATTTAAAAAAAAAAAAAAGATCCTATTTAAATCTTTTAAAAATGGCCTAGCTATTTAACAGGTTACATCTGGCAATTGTTAAGATAACAAAAGCAGGCAGCAGAGATGGCTCAGTGGTTAACAGCACTGTCTGCTTTTCCAGAGGTCCTGAGTTCAATTCCTGGCAGCCACCTGGTGGCTCACAACCATCTATAGCAGGATCTGAAGTCCTTTGCTGGCATGTAGGTATACATGCAGACAGAGCACTCATGTACATAAAATAAGTAAGTAAGTAAATCTTTAAGGGCCTGGAGAGATAGCTCAGTGCTTAAGAGCACTGGCTGCTCTTCCAAAGGACCTGGGTTCCAGTCCCAGCACACACATGGCAGCTCACAATTATCAAGGGATCTGACAGTCTCACATAGATGAACATAAAATAAAGTTGAATAATTAAAAAGAAGACAAACAAGCACAACCAAAAGATAACAAAAGCAAAGAAAAAGGAGAAACCCCCAAAGAGGAAATGTATGAACGCTGGAAACAATTTGTGGTGGTTGTTTAGTCACGATGCTACCCAGGCCAGGCGGCCTCAGACCCGCTCTGCCGTCAAGGGTGACTCTGAAGCTCTGGATCCTCCTGTCTCTGCTTATCAAATACTGGTTCCACAGCCCAGCACCACCATACCCAACTCAAATTCATTATTAGATTTTTTTTTTCAGAAAGCATACAAAATAGTGGGTTTCTTTATGATATTTAACATTTACTGTACTTTATGAGTTCTTACGAATTACTGTCCTAGTTAGGGTTTTTATCACTGTAAAGGTTTATTCTGGCTTACAGCTCTCACTGAGGGAAGCGGGGCAGGAACTTGGAGGCAGAAGCTGAAGCAGAGGTCACGAGGGTTGCGCCTACTGGCTTGCTCCTCGTGGCTTCCGTAGCCAGGTCTCTCAAACAACCTAGGCCGACCAGGCCCTTGCACATCAACTGTTGGCTTGCCTTCAGGCCAATCTGGTGGGGCATGGGTCCCTCTTCCAAAAAGACTCTAGCTTGTGCCAAGTTGACATAAAACGAATCAGCACAATTACAAACACAACAAAACCAATTCAATTAAAAATTTTAGGCTTTCAAAGTCTTTAAACCAACTTTGTCAATATAGTCATTTTTACAGTGTTTTTAATTTTTTTTCCTTTATTGATGACAACAGACTTTAGTTCTATCTGAAAATAATTTTCCCATTAAAACGCTGGGACCTTATTTAAAGCGCAGCCAGGTTATTGGGGGCCTGCTCAGATAAAGGCTTGGCTCCACCTGTGAAAACACAAGCTGCCCTTTGCTGACACAGCAGAAAGCAGGGAGGGACAAGGGATGGGGGCAGGGCAGCCAGGAAGTATGGAAAATTCCCACGAACTCTGATGGGCTATTAGCTGAACGCGGTTCAAAGAAGAGAAAGCAAAGAACAAAAGCAGGAGACAGCGGGCGAAAGATTGTCTGAGACTAAAACAGCTTCTCAGAGCCGACATGTGAGTGTGAAATTTTGCTTTCCCCCAAAGACCTCAGGAGAGAGGATAACGGGTCCTGAGAAGGTCAAAGTGATGTGAAAAATGCGAGAACTGTAACATCCAACATGTACGTCTGTTCACTTGCATGAACAGCTAGTATCTGCATCCCACCTCTGACCACGGACGGCTCCTCCCTGCTCTCTGTGCAAACCTTTCAGGCGCTCTGAGAAAAAACTGTATAAAGACTCTGAAGCTTCCATCGTTTTTTTCTAGCCTGGCCACCTGGGGCACACTGCTGCCTCAGAGAAATGTAATGAGGGCAAAGCACAGGCTCCATCCCCGGATGGCAGCTGGCTCGGCTCCTCAGCAGACTGCAACCCTCATTGCTGCCATCTGTCAGAGGTGCCGGGCCCTGGTCTCCAGGGGACACAGGTGACACGGTATGGCTTGACGGTCCACTCCAGGCTACTGCTTAGTCTAAAGCAGATCCTGCATTACAGAGGGAAAGGACTGTCACCTTCCCTGGAACTTTTCTTATTGTCATCAACCAGCAAAAATGCTTTGTGAGTCAAATCTTTATTTCCCTTTTTAAAGTCTGTGTGTGTGTGTGTGTGTGTGTGTGTGTGTGTGTGTGTGACAACAGTTGCATGGGGCACACAGTCAGCATGCAGCGTCAGAGGACAACCTCACGTTTTGGTCCCAGCCTTCCACTTTTTTCTGAGACAGGGTCTCTTGTTTTTAACATGCCAGGTTAGCTGGCCCAGGGTCCTCCCTTCTCAGCCTCACACCTCAACATAGGAGCGCTGCCATTACAGGTGTGTGTGCCCACACTTAGCTTATATATGTGGACAACGAGGATTCGAACTCAGGTCCTCCCACGCTTGCAGAGCAAGCATTCTTACCCACTAAGCCATCTCCCCAGAATTGAAATTTTCATTTTTAATTGGCAATTAAGATTCCTAGGAGTCCAACAGGGTGTTTTGGTATATGTGCATTGCAGGATGTTTTGCTGGAGTTTGATCATGACTGTCCCTACCAAGGTCTCTGTGGTAAAGTCCTGGCACCAAGGGAAGGTGGTCAAAGTCTTAGGAAATGGGGCCTAGTGTAAGGACTTTGGTCCCAGGAAGAGGCATGTCCATGAGATGGGTTATTGATCCTGGTCTTATACTGTCCTTGTGTGCTGGCTATAAGGGGAGCATCTTGTTCTGATAGATCAGAGACCAGAATCTCTGATAGAGTCTCAGATCTGTGCTCTCTGACACAGCGCCAAAGCCAACAGGGCAACCAGACACAGGCTGAAAACTCCAACACCGGGAGCCAAAAGACCGCTTTCCTCTTTACACCTTCTTTATCTCATGTATCCGTTACAGCAGTGAAAAGCTGACAGGGTCTCTTAGGTACGCTGACACACCCTGTCACATACTTCTCACGTTTCTTGTTCAACCATTAGCATGGTTGACCCATCTGGAAAACCCATTATTCCCATCTAACCAGAACATGAACCACTTGGTCAACTTCTCTCTAGCCTGGTGATCGCAGTTCTAACCTCTACATTCTATTCTCCTAGAGTTTTATAATTTTGTGTAAATGTAATTGGAAATCACGGAACCAAATAAGGTGAAAGCGAGAGCTAACCTCTTCCGGATGTGAGTAACCCAAGACCCAGGGAAGCAAGGGACTCCCCAATGCCAAGGAGCAGATTAAAACTATTGTGAGGATTACCATCCTGGTTTTAAAACTCCTCGTTTGGAGTCTGAGTGGACTAATGATCAAAATGGTGTCATCAGACATTCAGACACAGGGACAAAGACACACAGGTGGATGCAGCTATAAAATAAAGTGCTTTGAGTTAAACACATTGTCTAAAAAAAAAAAAAATCTGTACTTATAAATGTATTTATCATGATTTTTATTTCATACGCAGAATGCTTGGGAATGTAAAGTAAGGACAATTTTGGCTTCTCCAGTCTCCATAACGGTCTTTTCAGAAACAGTTCTACATTTATTACTTCAGTTACTTGATTGCCAGAGCATCAGCAGAGCATTGCAATCCTGCCCTGCCTAGCACTTTAGCCTCTGACCATGTACAGCTACAAGGTACGTAAAATGTAGCCAGTACTCCTTTCCCCAAAACCTAAATAAATATAACTGCAGAAATGCGGCCACACAACTGAAAGACTACATTTTTTATTGTACTGAACTTTAATTTCGGATAATGCCTGTAGCCTGTGGCCACAACGGCTCCAGACAGTGGGCTCCAGCACTCGGTGATCTCATCACTCTGTGTGTGGCTCATCCATGGGAACATTTGGGCTCTTGTGATTACTTTCTCATGTTAAGTCTTCAGTGAGTTCTCGTCTGGCTCTGGATGAGGCTAGCCTGTGGTAGCCAGGCCCCTCCGCTCCCCCAGACACCTGCCCCTCCGAGTCTATGGCGGAACCTAGCCAGTATCCTAGACTCTTCTGAGGTCTTTCAAGGAGCAGCTAGGACTGAGAACGGCTGGCATCAAAGCCGCCTGTAGTGAGGCAGGGCATCCCCAATGGTCTCCTATGCCACGAGTAATAGGTGCGCCCAAATATTAACTCTGCCCACAGTTAGACTTCCAGGCTGCCCTTGGGTGCAGACCCGCAGGGTCGCTATTCCAGGAGCTATTCCTTCCTGAAGGATCATTTAGAATCATGTATGGACAGAGTTTAGGCAGGCAAAATCCTAATCAGATTCTGTGATTATTAAATAAGCCATCTGTTTAAATAATCTTAAAAACTAGCCATGACGTGACAGCACTATGTATTGCTTAGGAGAAACCCTTTTCTTCAATGAAACCAGATTTTCAGGGTGGAAGTGTCTTAGACTTAGTAATAGATATTTACTTAATGACTCGTTAACTTACTTTGCTGGACCAAGGCTATGAACATTGGAGGCAAGCACTCTGCACTAGACTCTCTCCCTGTCTCTTTCTCTCTCTCTGAGAGAGAGCAAGAGAGATGTGTGTATATATATATACATATATATATATATGTTGAGATGTGTGTGTATTGATTAAAACAATTTAAATCAAAGAAGTCAAGACAAAATTTCAGTATTTGTATAAAGGTTACAGGAACAGTGTGATCACTAAAGTGAAATGAAGACACATTCTTAGAAAACATTTCTTAGTATTTACTGTATTTTACCAGGAAAAAAAAAACCCTAATGTGTAATTATAAAACAAAGAACTTATAATTAACATGCCAGATTAAGTTCTTTTGCGCAGTTAAAACAGACAATGTCACACAGCTCAGTGGCGCCACCTGTGGAAGTATCAGACAGACGTTAACTTCCTATGCCCATATTCTAGTTGACTAAACCAAAGCCAAGACGAAAGTCACACCTAAGAATTGATAAATTCACTTTCAACTTCTTATATATTTATTTTTCAGAAGACCAAAATGTTCCTATGACACTCTGCCAGACCCACATTTGCCTGGCATCCTATGAAGGCAAATGCTGTGTTATAAACAATCAAAAAAAAAAAAAAATCAGGGCTGGGCAGATACCTCAAGTCAGTGAAGTCCCCGCCAGGAAGAATCTGAGTTTGAAACCTAGAACCCAAGTTAGAAAAAGCCCCAAAAAGATGGCATGTGGCACGCTTGTAATCTCCGCAGTGCCAGAGAGGCAGAGAGGCGGAGCTGGCCACTCCGTCGAGCCTTGTTGGCAAGCTCCAGGCCAGGGAGAGATCCTGTCTCAGATAACTAAGGTTGACAGCCCCTGAGGAACAATTCCAGAGCTGACCTCTGGCTTCCACACACATGCATACATGCGCATCTGGCACCCCTGCCCAACACGCGTGCACGAGCACACACACGCGCACACAGGCACACACAAATCAACAGAACTACTTACTTCTAGGGTCTGCATCAGATTTGGTTTGATGGCATCTTTCATCAGAACTGTCAGTGCGCCTGTCACTCCCTACAGGAGAGGAAAGGACACACAAATCAACAGGGAAACTCTAGGGCAATGGCTGACTTATCCCCGTTGCCCCTACCCTGCTTTTAGGGGGGCATCGGCCCAAGCTGACCATGCCCCTAGACTGTCATCTCTGCCCATGTCTTTCTCACCCCAGGCTCAAAGGCAAAGCAGGGATCAAGGCAGGCAAGAAAGGTCAGATTCTTATGAGGTGGATTCCACATGTCCTGGCCAGGTACGGACCAGCCATCAAGACAAAGGAAGACATTAGGCAGCTGCAAGGCTTGTGGAGATGAGGCGGTGTGCAGAACCTGTCAGAATCCCCACCCTATATGGCGTAGGGAAGAGATCCCCATTCTCCCGACAGACTGCGAGCTCCCCAGGAAACCTCCCGGAAGTCCTCACCAGGTCGTCAGCCGTCACAGGCTGCCCGTCTTTGTCACTGGCCACCACCATCCTTCCCAGCCGCTCCTTCATGTCGGTGAGGCTATCGGTCAAGGCCAGCACAGCCATGATCTCGCTGGCGACTGCGATGTCGAACTGGGCCTGAGACAGCAAAGCAGATGCTGGGGTGAGCAGCGCCACCAGGCACTTTCACAGGAGCCAGGTTTCCTTGGTTAGAGCTGGGGGCTGTGCCCTCCCACCGCCCACCCTGCCTGCGAGCCGGCAGGCTCCCACTCACAGCGGCTTTCCCAGGGTACACACAGATCGCCCACACTGTGGCAAATCGCCTGGTTGAGGCCTGTGAAGCCTGCCACTCACGGTAGTTTACTTGAGACTAACAGCTGAGTACTGCTGTAGGGCAGGGGAAGGGCTCAGTGGCAGAGTTCTTGCCTCGTACATAGGAAGCCTAGGCTCGGTCCCCTTCCTTTTCAAAAGTGTTAGCATCATTATCTGTCTTCTGAGCATCTTTGACACTAGAATGTCTGTTCACAAAGGCAGGGACCGCCTAGGAAGTTTCCTTTTGGATGTCCCGTGGGGACAATAGCCTGTGGCACCCAGGGTGTCTTTAGTGTATGCTGAATGAGCTAGTCAGTGAACCACAGGGTATCCTCAGTCTCTGAGGGAAGCCCCCTCTGCCCTGCCGATCTCCTTCCTTTTTATTGAGGTAAGAATCAAATACAGACTCTTACATATGCACTCTACCACTAAGCTACTGGTCCACTGACACTAATTACAGGCCTGTGTCCAGGAGAGATCAGTAGAGGAGAGTGGAACAGGAGAGCCCTACAGGCTTCCTGTGCATGAGGCTCGTTTATCTCTGCACAGGGGCTGGAGAGATGGCTCAGAGGTTAGGAGCACTGACTGCTCTTCCAAAGGTCCTGAGTTCAATTCCTAGCAACCACATGGTGGCTCACAACCATCTACAGGGCGATCACTGCAAGCAAAACACTGTATAAATAATAAAGAAATAAATCTTAAAAAAAAATCTCTGCACAGGTTTGTCCTAAAAGCTAAAGAATAGCATGGAACCATGCTCTATCTAGTCCATGAGGATAAGGCTCCAACCTAGCTTAAGGCTCCCAGCAATGACAGCCAGAGCGTTGACTTTCTTCAAACATTTCTCAGGACTTTGTCCTCCCTTCTCTTGGCTCCAACAGCAGGTTGTAGAGAGTCCAGTGGGAACGAAGAAGGAGGCAAGGAATGTGTCCTTCCTTCTGCTTGCAATCCATCCACCAGGAAAGCATCTGCACGGAGCCACTTCGTTAAGCTCCAGCTTAATTCCCCGGATCCCAGGGGGAGTGTGTGTCAGACAGGTTCAAGCTCACACACAGAGAGAATGGCTCTGCCCTGGCTTATCAGACATTTTATTACCCATTTCCATCACTGACAGATGAGGAAATGAAGGAAGGAAGGACCTTGCTGCCTCCTTCCTGGTTGAGAGTGTATTAGCTATTGATTTACTGAAAAAATACTGCCTGAAAGTCAAATATAGCTATAGTCAATGGTTATATTCACAACACAACTCATTCTAAAATGTAAATAATTTTTCACTGATTGAAATCTAGGTCCCTATAGCACATATTACATTGTAAATGGTGCATGTAAAATGAGCAAAATGTTACTATTTTCCGAGCACAACATGGGCCTGGAATACTCTTAGAGTATGAACTCCACAGTAAGCAACTTGTAGGATGTATAATGTGTGTACAAGTACTTCACTTGCAGTTGCTTGATTTTTAAAACTTTAAGGCTGCATCATGGAGGAGGCTTCTAATTCCAGCATTTGGGAGGCTGAGGCAGAGGATCATGAATTTTCAGCCACCCTGGGCTACCCAGTGAGTTCTAATTAGCCTTCACATACAAATTGAGTCAATCTAAGGAGGGTTTAAAAGTAAATGAGGCTACGTGAGGGTCTTCCTCAGTTTACTAACCAGCGTGCATGGGAGGGGGCTGTTCTACGTAAGCAAATCAAACACTTCAAACTCTCATAAATGGGCGAATGAGCTTTGTATCATTTCTTAGATAGCCATAGATTTTAAATGAAAAAGGACAGTGTATGACGTTGCTAGGTCTGTGAGTGGATTTAACTTTTCTGGAAAGCAATGCAGAAATCCATGCGACCTACACACTGACTACAGTTGCCATCCCTGGAAATCTACCTTCAAAATAACACAAGTACACACCTAAACACAAACATGCTTACTACAGACGATTTAGGAGGGCCAAACACAGTCGATAGCCCACGTGCGTGTCCTTAGCAGAAAGTGGTGAGCTGGCTGATACATGCATCTGAGCGTGTGTACCACTAAAACCAGCGACACACTTTTACCCTTGACAGAGTCTGCGGGCTAAACCAAGCAGCCAGTGCTCTAATGTAACCCTTTATTAACTCAAAAAGGCCTAAAGCAATACGGAAATAAGCCACATGCCCAAGTAATTTAAACTATATATCCCAGGCTGTCCTCAAGCCTACGGGGATCCTCCTGCCTCCGCCTCCTAAGTGCTAGGACTACAGGCGTGTACCATGGTATGCTACTGCCTTGCTCTGCAGCGCTCAAGACACCGTTCCGAAGGGTATCTTATTTTCCCGTCAGCTGTCATCTGTTCTACTTGTTCAGCAGTCGCCTGACACCACCTACTTCCTGTGACGAATGTCTGCTCTAAGGATAAAGTACGGGTTGAGTAGAGAAGGTGAAGCTGCCCTTTTAGGAGGAGGCGAGAAGTGACGCGATGGGAGGACGCAGGTGCAGGATTCACCCCGCAGAGGCGAGTCTGCCGACAACACACTGTGGTGTTACAGAAGGTGACCAGGCGACAAGCCATGTCTGAATAGGAATTGTTGAACGTCCTTGTCAGGCACAGTCATCTCCAGCGTGTGTCCCAGATGACCTCTGGGCTTAATGTTTCTGTGCGTGTGACTGTTTCATATTGAAGATCTTGATATCTAAGCCTATCAAAAGTGATCTATTATTGCCTCCACAGTCTCTGCATTTTGTCAGCAACAGCCTCTGTCTATAGTGACTGTTAATGGCTACCTCGTCCCAGGAGGATTGCCTCCTATTTTCTCAAGTTCTCATTCACTCCAATGTGTTCCACGTTAGCGCTGTTGTTTTTCTCTTTCTGCAGAAGGTTCCATCATCATTCTCCCTCAGAACTCAGAATGAATTTCCCCAAGGCCACCTGGCATTTGGTGTTGTTGATGAGAATTCTTTTTTCTTTTTTTTTTTTTCTTTTTCTTTTTTTTTTTTTTTTTTTGTTGATGAGAATTCTTATTCCTCTGTGAGTAATCAGGATCTTTTCTATTTGGCAGCACTTAGGAATTTCTTCTTTATTCTTCATGTTCTGAAATTTCAGCCTGATGTTTCTGGGCAGAAGTCTTTTTTTCTTTTCTACGCCCCCTCCCTTTCTGTTCTGTATTTGTCTTTTAACATGAAAACATTGTTTTCCTCAGACTGAGAAGTTCCCTGCCTATTAGATTTTTGAGTAGACTGCCCACTCTGTTTTGAGGTACGGTGTTCTGTAGATTCCTACTGGAAGGTGGCTGCTTTGGCCCTTGTGTCTGTGTGTGCGCCCACTGAGGTTGGCACCAAATGTCCTCCTCTATTGCTCTCTCCATACAAACAGTTTACACTGGCTGTACATCAATTCCCATGATGCTTCTGTGCCTGCCTCGCCCCTGCTGGGGTCACAGGCGCAGGCCACCACGCCTGGCTTTCCTTACGTGGTGGCTGGGAGTCTGAACCAGGTCCTCAAGCTTCTAGAGCGCACAGTTTGCCAACAGCCACCTCCCTAGGCCACTCGGGCTTTTCTCTGTAGAGCCAAAGCTGACCTCGAACTTGCAATCCTCCTGTCTCAGCCTCCTGAGAGCTGGCATGATACTCATGTGCCATCATGCCCTGCTAGAACCTTTATAATTGGGGGTGGGAGTGGATTTCCAAGAATTTCTGTTTCTTAAATGTTTGGATTCTCCTCTCCTCCCATGTTTTTTGTTTGTTTGTTTTAACTCTGGGACCCATTTCTACATAGTTCCTCGGCTTGACGTCCCTCAATAGCGTACTCAAGCCAACATCACAGTTTGCTTTTTTTTTTTCTGTACAGGCAAGGTCCCGAACCACTAACCCCAAGGAGTGGCTGTTTCCCCCTGGTCTGAGAGCTAGGATGCCGCTCACCTTTGAGTTTAGAGGTCCTTCCTCTATCATCTAGATTGTCCTCTCCATTATCAAATTCCTCCCCCCAAACTTTTCAGGAACGACTGTGGTTTCCTTGCACGGGCAATGCTGATTAAATCTGTTTGTGTGTGAAAACTGCAGAGTTTGGGGCAACAAGGGGGTACGCGGGCTTAGGCAAGCTTCTTGATCCAGGCCCCACATTCACTCCTCCTCCTCCCTGAACGCCTGTGGTCTGCGTGTGCACACCTGAGAGAGGCTCACAGGCAGGGTCCTCCTTGGTCATGCTCTGTATACGCTGAGGCGGAGTCTCTCCTTGACCCTGGAGCTTCCCAGCCTCAGCTACGGCTCCGAGGATCTCGTCTTCAGCCCAAGTGCTTGGTGATAGGTGGGCTCCATGCCCATCCAACATAAATACGGCTGTGGCGACCCGAACTCTGGCCTTTGCGCTCGTGTAGGAACTGCTTTAGCCACTGAGACAGCCACCCCACCCCCCCAACTCACTTTTTAATTCAAAATATATCAAAAGCTCCCAAAATCTGTTTGGTATGAGAAATGGCTATTATCATAAAAGTAACTTTTTCCACTAATAAAAATTTAATGTAAAGCCTGTAAATTAAAAACTTTTCAAAGAAAGAGTTTACTATTAAAAAAAAAGTTGAGGGCTATTGTGCCTGGCTAAAAAAATTACAGAATGAAATTATATTTCCTAAGTGCTGCCATCCCACATCAGAGGCCCATTAAATGGAAGGCAGAGTTCATTCCATCCCCCCCCCCCCCGCCACATTGTCTGCTTTTGAGTAATAAGCTATTCTTTGAAAAAACTCTCCATGCTATTAAACCTAATAAGTGGGTGTTTGTCCTTTGGTTTATGAAACTTTCACTTTTCTATTGTTATTCAGTTGTTGTATTGAGACTTTCTGGAAGAGTCTACCCAGGAACACAGCCAAAAACACACGGAAAAGAAGACATTAGAACCTTCCTGTCTCCTGGTGCTGTCACTTCCAGACCAATCCTGATGCTCCCCAGTCCAACTGCACCCCAACCCCCACCCCCCACGCCCTGAGATGGTGGGAGAGCCACCAGTACTGTGGCCAGGGGACCAGAAGCAAAAAGCAAAGATGGTGGAACCCAAGGTGAGGAAGGGCAAACACTTCCGGGAAGATGGCGCCACCTACCTGCCGGGAGTGTCCTTTCTCGGCGGTTCCCTGCCCGACAGTTACTTTTCTCAGAAATCGGTCATTGGTGTCCAATACTGAAAGAGAACAGGTATGTCATTCAGTCAACACATATGGATTGGCCATGCTGGGAGATGCTGAAAACAAGAGTCAAGGTCTGCCTTAAGGAATCAAATAAGTGAGGAAAAAAAATAGATGGTAGTGGTGTGCCTTAATGACAGGGTGCCAGGCAACAGTGCGCTGGGCTGGCCCCTTTTCACCAGGCAGCAAGGACACATCGCTCTGAAAGTGTTTCACCCTGCCACCTCAGTCACAAGAAGCCAGCTCAGTGTCTCATGTATATCACAGCCAAATGCCCGGTAATTCTATTATGCATTATTAAAAAACCTAAACACAGAGGCCTGAACAGAAGTGTTCACATTCATGCCCAGAGCAGCTCCATTCACAGTGGCCAGAAAGTAGAAGCAACCGGAGTTTCCACCAATAGATGAGTGGTCTGACTCACAGTGTAAAACTGAGTGTTTTGAAAATACGCGCTACAAACATTCAAAATGTCATACAGACCCAGAACCGCAAATTCTGTATGGCTCTCCCTCAGTTAGGGACCTAAAGCAGGCAAGTCCATAGACACAGGGAACAGGGCAGTGGTTCTTCCCCACAGCACGAGGAACCACATTAAAGGACCGCGGCGTTAGGAGGGCTGAGGACCGCCGCTCTAGAGCGTCTACAGGGGATGACGAGCTTTGTGTGCAGCAGTGGCGACAGGGCAGTCACGTGGACGCAGGTGAGGCTAGCACTGTGCAGTTATGGGTGGTTAGCAGGGTAACTTTGGGTCATGCAGAGTTTACCGCAGTGAAGAGAAAAGCCAAAGGAAATGCAGCAACGCCGGAGGAGACTGACTGTGATGAGATCAAGAACAATTCTTCCGTGTGTGAACTGCACTGGGCTTCTATTTTTGTCTGTGAAAACTATTTGGCTTAGAAAAACCAAATTTCTGAAGCTAAGAAACAAAGACAGAAGAATAGACGTTTCCCTCATCTTTGGGATTTAAAAACAGCAGCGCTGTTCACAGTGACAACTGAGAACCAGCTTACTAAATGTGTAATCTGCCACCAGTGAAAACAGAAACAAAGATTATGAACTTGGGGACAAGGGGCTGGTGTAGGATGTGGACTGTTCCTCTTCCTAATAACCCACTTCCTAATATCACTCTCAGGCCTCTTACCCCCAGTTGCTGCCAAGTTTGCACGCTCTCTCTCACACACAGACACACACACAGACACACTCATAGCCAAGTACGTATACATTTTCACTTAAAACATTTTTTTTAAGTGTATTAACTTTCACGTGCATTGGTGTTTTGCCTGCACGTATCAGTATGAGGGTGTCAGACCCCAAGAACTAGAGTTATAGATGGCTGTGATCTGTCATGTAGGTTATGGGAACTGAAGCTGGGTCCTCTGGAAGAGCAGCCAATGCTCTTAACTGCTGAGCCATCACTCCACCCCCCCCCCCCCAGCCACACACACTTTCATTTTTTAAAATAGAAGCAGAACACCTGCAAGGTTAAAGGGTTGCACCTTGGCAGTGTCACCAGCGAGTGCTTTGGCTCCTGAGATGCTAGGCACACGAAACAAAACTATCTCTTTTTTTTTTCTGTGTAATTATATAAATTCTCTTGGCTGCAGACTGGCCATCATATGTATTTTAAGTCAGTAGTGGCCCATTCAAATTGAAGTTTGATGAAGGGAAGATAAGCAAAAAAGGTCAGATGAAGCTACAGCATCATTCAAAGGCCACTGTGCCTTTCACTATGCCTCAGTGGAAAACTGTGACCTCCCAGGATACTTACACCCGGGGACGGAGCTGTACGAATTCAGCACAGCAAAATATGACAAGAGGTTCAATCCCAACCCATGAGACACAGATGTAGCCGAAGCCCTCAGAAAGCAACGGGAATGCACAGCTGGCAGCCAAGAGATAGAGCGTCTGCTACATGCTAATTCCTCCCGGAACAGGCTCTGAGGGCTTTTTCTCTGCTCAGTTCTGTGCTGGCTGGGCAGGGCCATGAAGGTGTATAAGGCACCGCTGTCTGACTCCAGGCCATTTCCTGGGAGGAGATGCCAGAGTGCCTGCATGGAAGGAAGACTGTGGGGTTCTGGGGTACGCTGGTTTACTTTTAACTTGTTCTAAGCAGTTCCTTTAGTGCTATAGTGTTGCTGGTACCCAGAGGAACCCCCAGAGCTGTAGGCATCATGCTATTGTGCACTGTGTAAAGATTCAAATGCTGATTTCTGTGCCCCCATGTCTGATTGCAATCCTAGTTCTGAGAGTCTCCTGCCTCAGTATTGTGTAAACATTGCTCCCCATTTGTTCCCTGATATGTCAACAGAGAAGCTTAACAGCCAGTGACCAAGCAGGGGAGAGAACAGGGCTGAACGTCCAGCCAGCCAGGGGAGGAGGAGGGACAAAGAGGAAGTGGGGAATCAGTGACAAGGAGAGGTCCAAGAGACATCATGAGAGGGCAACTGGAGCAGAGGAATCTAGAACATACAGTAATTTGGGGATTTGGGCTGGAAGGCAGACAAATTAGCTTAGAGGGTTAACATAGATGACTATGTTCAGTTGCTGTACCATCAAGCTGTTAAATAAATATCACAGTCCAGTCTCAGTTATTTGGGTGTCAGCTGGGTTAAGAGAAAAACTTCAATATAATTTTAAAAGAACCACTAACAGAGCACTTTTGATCCTGTAAGTATCCAATACCAGCCAAGAGCTGGAGGGCAGGCCCATTGTTTGGCTTCCACAGAAGACATGGCATCCTTATCCCATAGTGCCACTGGGCTAGTGTTAGGAAGCAGAGACATGATATCTGGGGCCCTTGGCCTGTGACAGGCAGCTGGACACATGTGGGAGAAGGCAAGTGTGTAAGTTTCTGGGGAGTTAGGCTCCCCAAGAGGCAGGGGCTCCGGGTACTCAACACTGCGAAGCCTGCCTCCCCGCCCTTAGGGGAGAACACACGTCTGGAGATACTCCCTCCCTCCCGCGCCTGTGACATGTTCCTAGAATAGTCCATATCTTAAACTCTACTCTCATCACCCGGGTCATACTTGTTCTCCTTCAAAGCTGGAAAACTCTACTCATAAATGTACTTGGTTCATCTATGGCGCATCCTCATTCTCATACGAAGTCACTAATCGGAACCAAACTACATATCAAATTTTAGCCTGAATTCCTCTGGCCCAGGTGACTTGTCCTCAGCAATAAGGTTTGCTTCCTTTTAGCATCCCAAATAGTAATGTAAGTCTGTATTTTTCTGGGATAGCTTTTGAGGTTGTCACTTTCATTAATGTTGATTTGTAATCACAGCACATTCCAGTCCTGCCTGCTTTTGTGCAGAGAAGCCAACTGAATGCTGGTCCTCACTGAAGATGTGATATTCCATGATTTCTGAGGTCGGGGCCCAACTTTAGATATGTAGAGATGCCAGTTGGTTTGAAAGTTTCTCTTTCAGCACGGTTGAAAATATGCTAATTTCCATGGCTTAATTTTTCTTTCACCAAAAAGGACCCCTCAAATGATTTACAGAGTAACATGAGCTCAGAGCTGTCTTTGAAAGGTTGACTACAGATTTTGCAAACAATGGCATTTTAATAATAAATCTTTCTAGTTTAAAAAATGTAGAAAAAAAATAATGCCCCAGCAAAATGCTGAAAATATTCATGTCGGCTATTCAATATATTGTTTATTGGTCTATCTTAGACTGTGGCATGTACTAGTCATGGCTCACCACCCACAAAGGAATATTCTGGAGTCACTTAAAATGACCACTTCAGCCAGGAGGTGGTGGCTCATGCCTGTAATCCCAGCACTCTGCCAGGCAGATCTACGTGAGTTTGAGGCCGGCCTGGTCTACAGAGTGAGTTCCAGGACAGCCAGGGCTACACAGGAAAACCCTGTCTGAAATACAAAAACAAAACAAACACCAACAAAAAATGACCACTCAAGGTGCTGGGGTTTAGTTTGAAGGTGAAGCCAAAGGCTGTGGTTTAACTTCTAGCACCATGAAAAATAATAAATAAATGGAAAAAAACCAAAAAACAAAAAAAACAACCCAAGAAAGAGCTAGCAAAGTAGACTGTGCTTAGAATTTAATTGAATTGGGCAGGAAATAAAACCCACACACACAAATGGTAACAGAGCTGTACAGAAAAATCAGATGCACCAAAAACTATGATTAGCCATTACTAGCATTGTGAAATGCTGCTTAATTTTTTTGACACAGTCCTTACAATATATTATTTGTTTTAAAATAAAAAATGGATCCTTACAAGAGTACTCAAGAAGATTTTAACTTAATCTTAGGAGCCAAAGACCGCAGAGAAACAACACAGCACAGCTGTTACTCTCTAAGGGTCACTAGGGAGGCGCGTCGGAGTTTGCGTGTTCACATTTCAGCTGAGCCTCCCCAGAGGGAGGCTGATATTACTACAGGCCCAGCATCCAAAATTCAAAAATTTGGGGTGTTAACATAATACCGCTAGTGAAAAACCACATAGCTAGAAACAGCTCCACATACAAAATTATTTAAAATAATCTATAAAATATCCTTCAGGCAACGTGTGGAAGATGTAAACGAACTTTGTGTTTAGACTTGGCTGTCATTATTGTGCTATCTGCCCAAACCACCAAATCTTTGAAGTCTGATACACTGGATAAGAGCTACTCTGTATAGATGAGGAAACTGAGGAAGTGGCCTTTGTCTCTTGGCTGCAAGGTCTTCTGGGATACACTCAGTTCTTACTGGCATGGCTGAATGGGCTATTGGGAAGTCAGCTCAGGAAGGGTGGGGGTCTGGTTGAATTTGGGAAAAAGACTTGCTTAGAAAGGAGACGGGCCAGGCTTGGCCATGGCCAAGAAGAGGCTGGCTAGAGAATGACGCAGGCCCCCTGGTGGAGAGAAGACAGAAGCTAGGCACTAGTAGTCCTGAATGACAACTGGATTTCACTGCTGAAGGATGGGAGCTCCTGAGGCTGACTAAGTCACAGGCCAGCATCTCCAGCTTAGGAATCTACTGAACTAAGGGATGGAAATGCGAACAGGAGAATGTGCTAAAAGATAACTGATAGTTCAGGCATTGGTTAAATATGTTCTGAAGGAGGGTAGAAGTAGGAGAATGGGGGACAGGTCTGAGACAGCAGGCACCGGAACATATGTCACCATCATTTTGTATCCTGTAGGGCTCCTAAGATGTGACTGCCACATTTCTGTAAAGTACAGACACCATCAACTCCATGACCGTATTTAAGGCTCCAAAACACAGAGCAGCACTCTCTGCAGCATGAGACCGCCGGGTGACACACACCTAGGACCCAGCCGGAAACACTCCCCAGATGTGGAGGAAAAGCCTGTACTGTAAACGAAAACTAGAGAGGAGCTCACAGAGAGACAGCCAGGCATGGTGGCAGAAACCGGTAACTCTGACATTCTTGGGGGTGAGGGAAACAGAGGCAGGAGGACTGAAGCAAATTCAAGGCTGCCTGGTCTGCATAGCAAGTTCTCAGCCAGTCAGAGCTACATCATGAGAACTTGTCTCAAAAACAGAAGGCACTGGGGGAGACGGCTCAGTTGAGAAAGTGTGCTGTGCACCACGAGGACCTAAGTTTGATCCCCAGCACCCACAAAAACCCAGCAATGCCATGGGGAGGCAGAAAGAAAAGGAACCTTTGGGCTTCTGGCCGGCCGCTCTAATCGTAGGCTCAGAATGATGCCTGCTGTAACGGCTGGCCTATGTGTGCACACACTCTCACATGGAACCTCCTCTAAAAGAGTTAAAAGAGGGGCGGAGAGGTGGCTCAGCAGCTCAGAGCACTCACTGCTCTTGCAGAGGACCAGGTTGAGTTCTCAGGATCCACATGGCAGTTCACATCTACTTTTAAACCCAGTTCCAGGGGATCTGACAGCTTCCTCTGGTGTTCATGGACACTGCACATGTGTGGCGTATAGACAAAATGCATGTAGACATGCATGCATGCATGTAGACAAAACATAAGATAAAAAAAAGAATGCAGGCTTCAGCCCCAATTCTTTCCTTTCGTTTTTTTCCAATAGAAACCCTGAATGTAACAAGTAAATAAGGAATAATATAAAATATATTTCTTTTTAAAAAGTAGAGGAACAAAGTAGGCTTGGGGGAAGAGAACTCACTAGACAAGGAGGGATTGTGCCTTAAAATCGTCTTTTAAATAAAAAGAGGAAGGAAGAGAAAGAGTTCTTTACACATCTGGAGGAGGTTGTTTTGCTCTGTGGTGTTCAGCCTTGCACATGCCAGACTAGCGTGCTCCCACGGTCCCCCTTAGCCATCTGGGGAATTAGGGAGTGAGTGGGACTGAGCCAGAGAGGGGTAGTGGGAAAGAGCACCAATGGCACTGGGTGGCGGGATTATGAAGCCTGGAGAGGCGGCTGGAAGACGGCGGTTTTTATGAGCCCAATTTATGAATGTAAGCTTGTCTGTGGACTGACTGTGAGAGCTGGGGCTCAGGCCCTCTCCCCGTCTGGCCCTGCATGCCCTCTGGTTTCCCCAGGACCTACCTCTCTGCCATGTGATGGTGGAAGGGTCGATGTTGAGTCGGGCGAACTTCCTCACTTCCTCCTCTGTCAGAGTACTCGGATCAGTCTTCTCTATCCCCAGTTTCTAATAATCGGGGAGAAGTGCCGTCAGAACAAGAAAGAACAAGCTGCCACACCCAAACAAACTTACCCCGTGGGGCATGCTATCCCATAATTAGTAACATCCTTGAAAGAAACAAAGCCTGGGGTGAACTTCGCGTTAGGTGGAATCATTCTAGCCTATGTCTTCTGTGGGTGGAAGATCGTGGGGATCTGTGAGCACCCTAAAACAGTGATCTGGGAGTGGGGTCCAGGCGGCAGCACACAGTGAACTCGTGGCCTGCTCTTCCTTGTGTGGCTGGCGGTACGTGCTAGGAGCCCTGCGCACGGGGCTCTCCGGGCACAGCCCGCTGCCACTATGCTTTCTAGGTCTCTTCATAAGCGCGTACCAAGTGAAGTGTATGCCTGGGTTTCAAAGGAATGCGCTTTACTTCTCTTGGGGAAACGAATTAAAAATTTTAAGGGGGTGGTGGTACGTTCACGAAACCCCAGCACTTGGGATCAGGAGTTGGAGGCGTCTCAAAAAGTAACTAACTAAATAAAGCCAAATAAACAAAGCTTTAATGGGTTTAATTCTGTGACGAAAACATCCCAAAAAGTGCTTTAAAAATTATCTGATGGCAGCTGGGCAGTGGTGGTGCACACCTTTAATCCCAGTAACTCAGAAGACAGAGGCAGGTGGAGCTTTGAGTTCGAGGCCAGCCTGATCTACAGAGCAAGTTGTAGGGCAGCCAGAGCTACACAGAGAAACCCTATCTTAAAAACAAACAACAACAACAAAAAGCCAACTAACGGTTATAAATTATACCATAAAGGTGATTTTTTTTCTTTTGTCTTAAAAAAAACACTGACTAATAGTACAGAAGAAGCCAATAGCATCAGAAAACACATGGTAAAGAATGAAGATGGCCTTTTCAAGTAGAATAGCCTTGGGGAGGGCAACGAGAGAGACGGGTATCCAAAGATATCTTCTCGTTCAAAGTTTGAAAAACAGGAAAGCATTTCTCCTCGGAAGGAGGAGGCTACGTAAGAGCCGATGTGTCAGTTAGGGGTGCTTGTCGGTTACAAAGCATCCCTCCCACCTCACGGGTGAGGAAATGGAGCCCGAAAAAAGTAGATTCTTTAGCCTGAGGAGATGACTCAGGGGTCAAAAGGTACTTCCTGCCAAATCTAACAACTCAAGTTGAATACCTGGAGGAAGGAGCTGTCCTTGGACCTCTGCGCATAACGTACAAAATGAGACAAAAATGTAAACAATTATTTTAACCACAGGATCTTAAAAAATACAAAAGGTAAGTTATGGTTTCCATGGCTCTTTGCTGTCGGGATTTATCAACAGACTTCACTCTGTATGTTCTGGGTTAATGCTCTATGGGCAGTTCTCAACCTGTGGGTCATGATTCCTGGGGGTCACACGTCAGACATCCTACATGTCAGAGATCCACACTATGATTCTTAACAGCAAATTTACAGTTATGAAGCAGCAATGAAATAATTTTATGATTGAGGGGCATCACAACACAAGGAACTGTGTTAAAAGATCACAGTGTTTGGAAGGTTGACAGCCATGACCTAGAGTTTCATAACCAAAGGAATATATAAAAATCCAAACCAAGTTTCTAGACTGTTCTCTTCTTAAAAAAAAAAAAAAAAAAAAAAAAAAAAAGTACTATTTGCTGGAAACTTACCTTCAGCCGAGAAAGTTGAATTTCTGAAAATTCTCTGACGCCATTCACTAAGGGAACTAGCCGATTGTAGAGAGCCTAAGAGGGGGAGGGAGGAAACCAAAGCAAACGCAGCTTTATGTCCAAGCCATGAGCTTGGGCAACTCATAAATGGACAAAGCTCATTGCATTTATAACGGAATAGGCTCTGTTAATATTTGAGGGCTGATATATACAACACAGACTTAAATCCTGTCACTGTAACAAAACTTACTTAGTAAAGCAGAACTAATGTTCATTACTAAGAATTTGCATAAAAACACCTGGTCTATATCCCTACAACTTATGAAATAGTGATCTGAATTTTGTCTGAAAGGTACAGTGAAACTCATTCCAGGAAGTACCTCTTTCATCTATGACTAATGCCTGTGAGGAATTAAGACACGGAACTCCGCCATTTTCAGGAGTGAGTTGGCACTTGGACTTCACACGGGTGAAGCCAGAAAGGACCTCTAGGTTCTTACAGTTCATGATTGCTGCATGTACTTTTAGTCTTATAAACAGTTGACTGTGGCTGTAGCTTAACGCTATAGCTCTTGTATTAGCACATACAAAGTCTGTACTGGAAGCCCCTTCACCCCAACAAAACAAAACAAAAACCGAAGTTCAATCCCCTTTAGAATAGACCAGTGTATCTATGACCATAGTGGAAAGAAATGATATACCACTGATCTCTAAAACTGAAAATTGTCACATCACAGTTTTCCCAACAGTTCTGTAGTGACTGTCAACTGACTTGAGAACCTGATTAAAGCAAAGCTCCCCTCCTCTGGAGGTGAGGCTACAGGTTAAATTTACCAAATTTTGAATACTATTTCAGAGAGTTGATGGCTCTAAAAGTCTTTCACAAAGTCCTCAAGGGTGCAGGAATAAAAAGCCCCAGGATGGCTAAGGAGGGAGCTTCTCACCTTGTCTGTTTGGGTGCTCTCATGTAAGATCCTGGTGTCGATGGCCGCAGCCAGCAGGTTGTTAGCGGCCGTGATGGCGTGGATGTCCCCAGTCAGGTGAAGGTTGAACTGCAAAGAAACGTCTCATCTTTCCATCTGCATCACATGGCCAGGACAGTTCTCTAGGACTCCCCACATTAAAAGAATAGTGTGCCAATCATCTGTCTTTATCATGAGCTGAGACAAGATGGCCTAGGTCAGAAAACCAAGGCCAAGGCCTCCCACTTGACAATAAAGAACTCATGAGTCTGTGGTTCTTCCATCCTCAGGTCAAAGATGACACCTTCTGGTGGGCTTAACAGTTTCTCATGATTTCTTAATTTTCAATTATTTATTTGTATCACTTCATTATTCAGGAAAATGTACTACATCCAAAATACTTGGGAAGAAAACAAGGCTTAAACAGTAAAAAATGAAATAAGAGAAAACATTAGTGAAAGCTAGTTTTGCATTAACACACAATGACTACTTATAAATCGACACACCCATAGTTTGGAAACTTCAATTTTTAAAATTAACTCATTCAAATTTTAGTTATTATCATCTATGTCTACGGTAGAGGGAGGAGTGTGGGCATGTCACCGCATGTGTGGAGGACAGCAGATAACCTCATGGAGTTGGTTTTCTCCTTTCACTGTTTCTTGGGTTCTGGGCTTGACTGGCCAGTGCCTTTAGCTGCTGGGCTGCTTTACTGGCCCCTATAAATCTTCAAGGAAAAGTTAATATGGGTTTCACATCTTTAACTTACAAATGTGAGGTGCAAAGAACTCTAAAATCTGGAACATTTTAAACACCCACATGAGGCCACAAGTGGAAAATTTCATCCTACATTTTGTTTTCATGATCAAAATCATTAATAATATTTCACAAAACCCAGTGAAATCCTGATACTCTCCTGCCAAGACCCTTCAATGGCTGAATATGACACTTCAAGTTCAACCTGACCTCTTGGCTATGAATGGAAGGCTGGCTTCTGCCTGCTCCTCTGCCTCAGCCTCCCTAGACTACCCTGCCCTGGGCCAGCCTTCTTGTCATGTTTTGACACCATGTGGCCCCTGACCAGGAAAAGCCCTTTTTTGTCTCAGGCTTTCCTTACAGAGTTTCCCCAGCTGGAAATGCCTTCCCTCAAGCACCTTTAATCCATCTAGAACTCACTCCAACATTTCTCTACACAATTCTTTACGAGTCTGCTGCCTGTGTATGACACCTGGTTCGTCAACCAACACCCATGACATGGGAGGCCATGGTGCTGTAAGTTGTGGATAGAGAAGGAACAGACTCAGTTTGTCCCAGCTTCAAGGGTCTAACTGCCAGCCTCTGTGTGTGGTAAGACAGCACCACTACACTGAGCCATGGAGTGAAAGACCCGTGCAGAAGAACACCATTGCCTTCTCCATATATGCTAGCTAAACCTCAAAATGTTCCCCTTGCAAATTCCTCGTTCTTCATGCTAATTTAGTCTTTAGGCCTTGGATTCCTCTACTTTGTGAAGGGGACTGAAGGGGTTCTGGAGTGAAGCAGAATCTTGAGGCCATAACTTGGGCAGGGTGGTGAGGATGAGAAAGGAGAGAGCATGCCAGGCATGAAAAAAGGCTTTGGTCAAGAGGAAACAGTGTGTCAGGTACAGCTCAATGGTGACGCACAGGCTTAGCGATAATGAGACCATGCAGCCCGGCGCCGATGAATAAGAAAAAACAGGACAGGCATCTCCAAGGATGTGATAAGGTGGGACCCGAGAGACTACAAAGCAGGAGCAAAGACCTGGTATGACCTCCCAGGCCATGCAGAAGTGACAGGTAACAGGAGGGAGAGGGCCTGGCTCAGACCAGGGCTTAGGGAGAGCTTGGGAGCATAGAGAGCGAGGCTGAGGGAAACAAGTACCGGTCAGATACGGAAGGTGAGGGAGGAGGGTCCTAGGGGAAATCAGAATCAACACCATCGGTTCTTTTTGCCCAGCTTCTCTGCGGTGATTTCATTCGTGGCCTCACTTGGTAGAACAAATCATCCACCTCTTTCTGAGTTTGGTAGCCTCAGAGATGACTGATGGGACCCAGGGCAACACTATCTTATCTAGAGTGGGCTTGGGAACACAGAATCTTCTGTGCGGATGTAGGATACACACACACAAACACACATAGACGTACGCACCCCCCCCCC